GGGGGGGGGGGGGGGGGGGGGGGGAAACCATCTTTGTGCCAAAAATAATTCTATATGCGTAGTTATCATTGCCCATACATCTAATTGCAAAACCCAAAAAGAAGATACCAGCTAATGTCAGCTAATGTTAGCACAAATAACCGACTACAGCGGAAAATAGGGCTCATCAATTAATGCTGTTGCGAACTGTTAAGTTAACAATATCTAAGCTTGCAATTTTAAAATTCCACAATTGCAATTGTAATTTTCGAATAAGGAAAACATGGTGAAATTGAATGAAGTAGAGAGAAAATTATACAATGCGATCTTGAAATATTTTGGCGCCTTCAGCGACGGCTTGACCGGCTTGATGAACAACGGAATCGGCGTAGTTCTTGACGGCTCGAGTTAGGTTGTTCTTGTTCCCCACCTCCACCGCTTTGTTCACGGCCGATCTCAACCACGACATTGCTTCAACTACAACAACAGAAACTGTGGATTCTTCTTGTTCTTAGGGCTAATTTCAAACACACATGAACCAGCAATTGTTTCGTGAATCTACGAGAGAGAACTCGAAAGTGTGTGTTTGTGTGAGAGAGAGACAGATAGAGAGATCGTGCATGCAGCGCGCTGAGTTTCGGCTCCTCGTGGGATTTTAGACATTTTGCGATTGAAATGGAAGGACCTATCTATTAGAATCGGTCAGATCCCCGCAACGTGTATTATTTTACAATCAATGTGGCGTCGTTTTAAGTTATGGATGTGAAGTNCTGTTCACACATATGTGTATGAATTGTGCATAAACATTCTGAAGCAGTTCCTCTTGCCACCACCTTCACTTTTGACACATGGTAATGATACCAGTCCTTTGGAAATATTTTTATAGGATTTGCATCTTGACTTTGGTTTCCTTATCATTTTCTCTTTTGTCCTTTTGATTTTCCTCCATTTTTCATGTCTGTTGTACCATTTCTTTGCCTTCTTCAGACTTGATGGTTAAATTTTGATTCAAGCAAAGATTTGTCGAGGAAGAAAAACATGCCTATTTCAAAATCCCATAAATAAACAACACAATGGAAATANTGGTATTTCGCACTCCAAAGATTTTAAAAATTTTAATTTATACCCTCGAACATTAATTTCCTTACATTGTACTTGTAATGTCATGAAATATTTATAACTAATAATTGTCCGTGCCTAAAGGCACGACGTAACGAAATTAAGGTAGTGTCATGTAATCTAAAATTCGAAGAATCATACATTTGAAATCAAGGTAATCCATACTAATATTCAGAAATTTTCTCTAAAAATAAGAACTCATAAAAATGTAAATATGTCTACAGAACTTACAATCTTCATAATTCACTATACTACCACAATAATCAATACATACTCAATCATCAACACATATCCAACCACCAAAACATCAAGCTAATCCCTACTAATTTCAAGAAATTTGGGTAGTGTTTCCTTTAAAAATAAAAGTTCAAAAAAATATAAACTTGTCTATAAAACTTATAATAATTCACCATACCACTACAATANATCTAATTTTGTAACAAAGGCAATACTGGGTGAGAGTGACAAAGAGAGGAAGAAGGGGGAGGGGGGGTTGTCTTTGAGATGGTAAACTAAAATGGTTTTGAAGAGATAACCTATTAAGGGAATATGAGTGGATTAAAGTTTCAATAAGCCAATCAACTGGAGCATTAAAGGAATGCTAGTATTTTCTCTTTGCGTATTAGCTAGTGTATGGAAACATTTAATGATTCAAAGTTTTAATATGACGTTGGGCATATTCAGTGCACACTGAATAATTATCAGAATTATTAGCACTTAAAAGAAAAAGTACTTTAGATGGGGAAACGTTGCAATTGAGTTAAGACAGAGAAACATAACCTTCAGGTAAGATGAAGAAACGTTTTGAATGAATGAAGACCAAATTTCAACATATATTTACTAAAAAGGATATATGAGGCATTAGTTATTTGATTAAGGCTATTTTAGTCAAATAAATGTGTTTCATTTTTGTTGACATTTTATAGTAGTTAGATATTTTCAATCATAACCAGTTTGTGTAGGTTCTCTTTGCATTGAGATCTTGCTCAGCTTGCAGAGGTGATGCCTACTTTAGCACTTTGTAGCACAGTTTACTCAATACTTATTGATCTAAATACTACTGTATAAACTAGTGAGGGCTCTCCTTCTAGTTTGGCACTACTGTCTCCCACCACCAAAGAGAAGGATATGCTCAGTTGTATATATGTTACTGCATAACCAAAAAACAAAAGAAAAAATACTTTTTTGCCATCACAATGCACTGTTTTGTAATACAAGAGCATCATAGAAAGCCTGAAAGTCCAGAGTTTCTCAAATTTGCACACATTTTCATGAAGACACGTGAAAAAATGTTTCAGGACTTTACCAATACTTCATCTTCATAGCTAGAAAAAGCTTTTGCCAGGTCCTGTATACTGCTTACTATCGCATTATGAACTTCTTTCCCTCCAGTAAGACAAAGTCTGCACAACATAACACGTGATAAGGTTCCGATACAATTCAAGTTCAATCCCTTATTAAATACACATAATCCTCTATACCCCAACCAGAAAGAAATTATCATAGTCTGTGACAACACACAATTAACTAAAGTAGTCACTAGTGAATGAACTCACCTGAACAGTTCCAGGAGTAGAGAAACTTCCTCCTCATTTGGCGCTTCAATAATCTGAATAACAGAAAAGTTTAACCTGCGGTTAACCTCCATAATCAGCAATTACAAACCCCAACAATAAATTCAATAGAACACGTCAAGTAAGTACTAACGATGACCAAAATTATTTCAAAGCCTGGCCAAGCAAAACAAAAAGAAAATTTTCAGCCATGCTTGTGTTATGTATAACCCAATTGTATGTGAAATTTGTCTCTCAAGCTTAAGGGTTGCAACTCACTCTTTGGCCCCAGAAAAGCATCATCTTGCATTACGTTTTTCCAGCCACTTTAAAAATACAACTCAAAAGCATGAGCATCAAAACTAATGTATAATGCACACGAAATACTAATTTAAGCACTTCAATCAATACTGTGTAGAAAGAACTGAAACTAATTTCGCATACCATACATATGGCTATGCCCTCCAAAGCTTGACTGCAGAGAAAGACATCATGAAAATTCATCGGGTCACCCCCAATATCAGAATCATAATAAAGAACCTGTCCATGATTAGCAAGGGTTAGATCAAGTAACTCGTATCAAAGGGAGGCAACAGTGCAATGATTCACTTAATAATCGAACAACATCCAAGTCAGGGCAAAATTAATCAGCAAATCATATATGAATTCTTTTTTTAAAGGAATATAGAGTGAATCTTGTTACGTTATTTCAAATGGAATTTTAGCCTGCCTCACTTGCTTTCTTTACTACATAAGATAAGGGCGTAAGCGAAGTCAAGAGATTTCCTTCTAACTAGTGGTTGAGAGTAAGCAAGCTACCTTCATTCAATAGATTTGTGGTTGAGCAAAAAAATGATGTAATCAATGGCATATGGTCTCTGTGTTATCAAAGCTGATTGGTTTCCTCACAGGGGGAATTCTAAACAAGATCCAAGATAGAAAACACTACCTAAGAATAATCAAAATACCACAAATGTGCAGTTAAGGGATTCATGTGTTCTTTAACCTAAGCTATACGAGAAAGTAACAGTATTGGATGTAGTCAAGGAGAGAGGATCTGTGCGCCTGATTAAAGCTGATTGGTTTTCTCACAAAGTGAGTTCTAATCAGGACACCACATATGAATACTCATGCACCACTGTAGTACTGGACGTGTTAAAAGGCCCATGGTGGCCAAGAAAAATGAACACGACGACCTAGTGACATAAAAGTATGCCACTCTTGCATGTAGTAACTAGATAGACTAGTAGATGCATGAATTCGACTTAACTATCAATCCACCAGCGCTGTTAAGCTCCTTCATATTTCAATGAATTTAATCTCTGTCAGATGCTTAAAAGAATATTTGCAAATGGCCTGACTTCATTTGAATAGTTGAATAACAAGATGTACAAAATCACCCAAAATAATTTTACATGATTGACATTACCAATTCAGGCCTGTAGTGCTTTACTTACTGGAGATGGTTTTCTTGGAATATCCTTTAGTTCTTCAGATGAGAGTTGCGGTTCACTCTTCTTTTCTTTATCTTCCAAGGAACCCCCAGATAATTTCTCAGTTTCTTTAAGTGCAGCCAACCATCTTCTCATCAACTGCACTCTTTCTGGACCCCTGCAGGAAACAGAAGCTTCTTCTAGTCTTTTTACTGTCTGCTTCACACTTTTAAAATTCCTATTCCCCTGCATAAGCATGTAAAGAAATGTCAAATAACTAACCTAATAGATAAATGGGAAAGGCTTGAAATGGAAAATAGTATCTCAGAGCATCTGCCCAACAAATGTAAAAAGAAGTGTCCCATGACCACAGTGACATAGTTTTTGACCAAGGTTATGTATTTATAAAATAAAAAATTTTTTTGACCAAGGTTATGTATTTATAAAATAAATAAATAAAAAGCTGAAAGAGGTCAATTTATCTTCCAAGAAGATCAATGTAATACATCCATTTGTCAAACTAGCTAGTGATTCACATAAACTGTACTCAACAAAACTTTTATCCCAACTATTTGAAATTGGCTACATGAATCCTGTTTTCCCTCTATCAAGGGTCATATCCTCAGTTAAATCTTAAACTACCATATCCTGTTTTATTGTCTAATTCAAAATTAATTTAAGTCTATCGTTACCTTTTGCATTACCATTGGTATAGATGAAATCACTCTTTTTGCTTGCGCAGTATTTAATCTTCTATAGACATTCAAATCACCTAAATCGATTCTCTCTTAATTTATCTCATATTAGTGTTACTTCTAAAATTTCCCAAATATACTCATATCTAATTTTATTCTTGTTTACCACACATCCATTTTAATATCCTCATTTGCGCAACACTTAGTTTTTTAGTGTCCTTCACATCCCCATGTCTTAATTGCCTCCGATTTACATATGTGATCAAAATATTATTTGGAACCCCCTTTCCCTAAAGACCTATGAGGCTATGATCTTTCGCAAGTTTGAGCACCTATATCTTTCCATTTCTTTTGTTCTCGCATCCTCATTATGCATTTGTATCACCGATTACCCTAATCACCTCATGACCTATGATGACCCCAAAATAATCAGCTCTATCTACTCCTTATCATCTCAGTTAGCTTAAGAAATTATACTTCAAAATAGATTATTGCAAAATCAAATATAAAAAAAAAAACTCTTTATAAGACTTTTCATTGAAAACCGCATAACAATGGCATTCTTGAGGGGGGGGGGGGGGGGG